AAAAATTCTCTTAGATAGGATTGACCTTGTGGCTCGTGTATCAGTGGTCCATTCTTTTTCTACACCATGTATGGAACCACTTATATATATCCCAGGACTCCCACTTATCTGCCTGAGGATGTATTCGAGAGAGGAACCATGGTGCTGAAGATTTTCAGAATTAGTAACTTTCATCTTGTACTGGTCTACAGGAATCTTCCTGACCACACCTGTCAGTGACGTATATTCCATATAGGCAAAAAGGCTGTAGCCTACACATCATTTTGTCAGGGATATTGCACTCGGTTTCAGTTGATAAACTTAAACCTACGTAAAGTCAATTTCTGCTCTGTTTAATTGAAATTCTAAATGTTTGGAACAGTGCTGCTCAATGACATTACTGGAAACAGAAAACAGATGACCTCTCGGTGGTTTGAAAATAAATGAATAAATAAATTTTGCCTATTAATATACTATCCTATTATAACGCAAGTATTATTTTGTTGCAAATGCCAAAAAAAGTATTCTTAGCAATCCGCTTTTTTTTTTTATACCTATCCCCTGTAAATATTTTCAGTCGTGCTTTTTAAGCCGATACTCAAGGGTTATATTAAGTCTTATCAGACAATTTCAAAACCATCGACAGCAACAGGATGATTGAAATTGATAACTGGAAATATTTTTGGTTAGAAGGAAGTTAAAGGTAGTGATCGTATTTCGATTATCTGGAAAGCAAGTTTCTATACTTTCTAAGCAATGTAAAAATAGCTAAATGTTCTCAGTTTTGTAAAGTGGTCTTCCTATCATGAAATTGTCTACCCAAACTGTGTCTCAGATTAAATCTGTGACTTCAAACTAGCCTTCACATCAGCAGAAAGGAATATACGCCACTGCCTGTAGATTTCATCTTCAACAAAAATATGACTCAAACTTGGATTATTAAACAAACATGAATTGCAGTCTACCTGACTTGCACTTACATTTAACTCTGGGCAGTCTACCTGACTGTCTCCCAGGTTACTAGTACATGTACCATCCCGGCAGTCTACCTGCCTACTACCAAGGGATTCAGGATTTTTCATATTCAATGACGAACTCCGTAGCCTCTTCAATAGTTAAAGGATCACTGTTCAATTCTACATGTAAGCGAGCTTTCTCACTTGATAAACCAAGTAAAAATCTGGAAACTAAGTCCTCTTGTTTTGTTACCCCTATCTGGATATGCCTTATTGTATAGGCTTTTAAGTTCAACAGCATAATCCTGCACAGATTCTCCATTTTTCTGGTCTCTGCGTCTAAATTTAGTCTGATAGGTTTTGTTGGTCTCAATAATACCAAAACGACTTTCTAATTCTTTGAGGAGTTTATAATAATTGGACAAAATGGTTGGTCCAAGCTCCTCAAACACAAACTCACCTGCATGACCTTGTAATCTTGGCAACAGTTGACCTAATTTTTCTTTGTCTGTCCAACCATTGTATTGAGCTACTGCTTCAAACCTGTTTATATAAGCTTTCCACTTCTCATCGGACTCTCCTTTAAAGGCTGGAAGTTTTACCAAAATGACTGGAATTTCTGTAACCAAATATCTTTGGAGTTGACATGGATCCACTTGACTGTGCTGTTTTTCCATCATCATTGTCTGAGTCCTCAGCAAGCTCATTGGTAGTATAACCAGCGGCTAATGGTAACCTTATCCTTGATGTCTTTCTGTTACCTCTGCAGACTGATGTAGGTTTCCTTCGGATTTTACTTCTCACTGTAAGTCCTTGATCATCTCCGTTGGTTTCTCTTTCTTCACGGGCTCGACTGTCTTGGTTGGTATTGCTAAGGATCTTACCTAAATCACCTGTCATCCTGTGGAAGGCGCTATTGATTGTTTGGCTGAGACTGTCAATTATACTACCTTCATTGATAGTGACTTGATTCTTTTGAGTATGCTTTCCTTCGTTGACTTGGCGGGCTTGTTTGTGTTACTTACAACCTTACCTAGATCTTCCGTCATTCTAATGAAAGCTCCATTGATAACCTGACTTAGACTGTGAATTAAATCCTCATTCATATTTCCTTACTTCCCTTTTGACTTGAGTGATCTCCCTCAGCCAAAGAATTCATTTGACTATGATATGGAACATTACCTGGACCAGTTTTAGTACAAGTTGTGTGATTACTGTTTGTACCAGTATAAGTTGGACTCAAGCCTAAGCTTGCAACCTTGTGTGGAGTCTGTACTATAATCTTTGGGGAAAGTACCCTTTCATGTGTGGTCATCTTCCGATTCTGTTAATTCTCCCCATCACTTGTTTCAGTGAGTTCGTATCTCTGGATCCACTCCTAAAATTTGTGGACCCCACTTCTGACACCAAAATTTGTAACGCTATAGTGGTTCAAGAAGACAGGAGTTAACTCCCCTTTTAAACACTGTATCAACAACACTAAACTCGAAATTTAATTTTCATGGATTATTTTTAATCTACTTCCAAATACAAAGTTTTATTATGAATAATACCCGTAAAGTATAAGTCACATTATCCAACGATGGGGTATACGATGAGAAACCGATGTGTTTTTTGATGAAAATGGCGTGGTTGCCGGCCGGACACCACTAGTGATCGGACGGTGACTGAGTCTTTTTTTGCGAATCGGTGGGGTCATCTGTAGGAAATAATTCGTAGTTAAAATTCAGCGATGTCTCCAACGATGCCTCACATCGCTCCTCATCAGCAACCCATCATTAATATATCTTTCAACGATCGGCCGATGTATGGCCGAGCATCGTCCAATATCCGTTGAATCTGAGGTCATCGGGGAGTTTAGTGGTGTTCAACAGATAACGACCGATTATCGATCGATGTTCGACCAAACATTGGCCCGTAGTCGACCGATGTACGAACATTGTTCACCATTGTATGAGCTACATAATATACATCGGCCGATTATCCTGGAACATCGTTTTATGATTAGCAATGCATCGCTGGGCCTTTGTAAGTCCGGCCGGCAACCACGCCATTTTTCTCATAAAACGCATTGGTTGTCCATCGTATACCCCATCGCTGGATAATGTGACTGATACTTTAAGGACTACGTGGCCGATGTGGACCGATGTTGGGGCATCGTTAACACCACGGATTACTACCGATCACCACCGGTTTATGGCTACCGGCCGGGAAATGTGACCTAGACATAAGTCTCAACAAGAAGGTATGAAAAAATACCTACAACTGAACAAAATAATTTATCCTAATTTTACAATTTCCAGGCTTTTTCTAGTCCAAACCCCAATAATTAAAGAAATAAATCAGATCCAGAAATAATCCAGATATGCGACTTTACTTCTAATTAAGTTATTATTTTGATAAATTGTCAGAACGGTAAATGTGATTTGTTAAGCACATTTTAGAGTAGTAGTATCTTTATTGGCTGATACATTGCATATATTGCAACAAGAAATAGTCACTCAAGACATCTGATCTTGAAATTATGTGATCCCATGTAAAATTAATTATTAATTAGGTACTTTTTCAATAAATCATTTAAAAGAAAAATTGGTAAAGTCGGATCCTGAAATAATCAAAATATGTGACTAAAACAAAATTTCAGAGTAAAGAAATAAAAGCAAATTGCTAAAGATAAATAAATAAATTTGTTAATTAATTTCAAATTCTAATAACCAATTAAAAACCCAAAGAGTTTTACCTCAAACGTTTAAATTTAAAAGACAGCCTAATCCCAAAGAAATAATGTTAACTCAAAAATCAAAAATAAACTTCCCGATTTACGGAAGAATCTTCCCTTATATACTTCAGTGAAAATTCGTATACAAAACCCATACGAATTCGTATAGATCCATACGAAATATTACGAAAAATACGAAAAATCTTATAAAAAATAGTTGCATTTAAATATAATTAGATCAATAATAAATATTTCACCATAAAATAACTTGACTTTCATTCATTAACAATAATTGATATTATTAATCAATTACCTTATAACTGTTCATTTTTACTTCCTTTCAAACCCGAAGAACGTATAAATATACACCGCGGATCAAGAGTAAAATAAACCGGAAGTATACCATTATGCAAAGCGCCGCCATGTAAATAGAAAAACAGACTGTCTGCAAGCCTACAACACATGTCTGCACAATACAGGTAACTAAAATATTAGTGAAAAACTTAATTTTAACAAAACATCTAGTGGTTCATACTCTTTAACAACATTTATGCAATAATTTTAACAAGGACATCATTAAATACGAAAGGATATACATGTATTACATGTACTCGTTCTACTTTCACTTCGCATTCGATGACATGAAAAGTTGTGAATCACATTTTAGAACATCACTTAATAAATGTACAATACATACGATCAAATTACTCAAATTGTGAACCATATAAAGTGTTAAATTAAGATGCCAAGATTTGTAATTTAAAGACAAATAAAATATGGGGACTTGAAATGACTAAACTTTACACTTGTGTACATCATTGTATTCATCGTATTGATGATTCATTTCGACTAATAATTAATAAAGCCGCGACAAAAACTGCCAATCAATCTATTTTTGTCGACATAACGCGAAATGAAAGAAAATATCCTAATGATATGTTTGATAAATATTACTTTCCTGAGAAAATACCATGATTATCAATGTTTATCCCAATCTTATTAAAATAAGACTTCTTAGATCCGCGCCATATTCACTCTTACACGGCGTGGATCTAAGAAGTCCGACACTTTTATGTTAACAATTCTTTTTTAACAATTGCGTTATTTTTTCTTGATACTTTTTTTTAGTTAATACTGTAGAAGCCAAGGAGGGAGAATCAAAACACATTTTATGGACTGCAGCTCATTTCCCTAGAAGTGGACTTTACCACATTTTTCATGTATATAACGATTTGGTGTCGACAATATTGCAGATAGGGGACAAGGACCCGTCAACTGAGAAGTACGTTTATCACACCAGACCTCTTGATTCTCTATATATACAGTTTGAAGTGAAAAATATAACAATGCAAGATGCCGGATATTACGCAGGAGGACCGTCTAAGGCAGATGCTTTGACAGGAGAGGGAGTAGTTCTTATTGTTTTTGGTAAATTCTGTGATTTACATTGCAAGTTATCTAACGCATAATGTCAACTTTCTACAGCAATTTACTTATACACGTTAAAAAAAAAGGGGGGGGGGCTTGCTTAACTGTTGTATACCACTATGAATTATTCTGCGCTTGTTTATAAATGTAATGCTCAATGCATTGAACGTATTAAAATTTTATTATGCCCCGCCATGAATATGGCCTGGGCATTTAGTGTTTGTCTGTCTTCCGTCCTTCTGTCCATCTGTCACACTTTGCTTTTATCTCTGTTCAAAGCTCAGTTTCAAAGAAACTATCCAAGAAAATTTTAACAAACTTCATATGCTGATAGATATTGATAAGAGCTATGCAAATGCATCAACCTTTTTGAACTCGACCTTTCCTTTGACCTTGACTTCACTTCTCTTAGATAAGTGTTTAGCTCAGTTTTAAACCTACCATATAAGATGTTGTTATCAAACTTCATATGTTGATACATACTGATGAGAGCTATTCAACTGCATCACCATTTTGACATTGACCTTTCCTTTGACCATGACCTCACTTATTTTTAATTAGTTTTTAGCTCAATTTCAAATATACTATTCCAGATATTTTATCAAACTTCATATGTTGATACTCTTGATGAGAGATATGAAACTGTATCAACTTTTTTGATCTTGACCTTTCCTTTGACTTTTACCTCACTTTTCCCAAATCACTGTCAAACTTCATATTCTGAAACATACTTATGTAAGCAATTCAACTGCGTTAATATTTTTGACCTTGATCTTTTATTTGACTTTTGACCTTTCCTTTTGACCTTGACCTCACTTTATCTTTAATTAGCGTTTAGCTCAATTTTAAAGATACTATTCAAGATATTTATTTGCTGTTACATACTGATGAGATCAATTCAACTGCATCAATATTTTTGACATTGACCTTTCCTTTGACTTTGACCTCACTTTTCCTAAATCAGTGTCAAACTTCATTTTCTGATACATAGTGATATAATTAATTCAACTGCATCAATATTTTGACCTTGATCTTTTTTTGACCTTTGACCTTTCTGTTTGACTTTGACCTCACTTTTCTTTAACTAGTGTTAGCTCTGTTTTAAAGATACCATTCTAGATTTTTTTCATCAAACTTTATATGCTGGTAAATAATGACGAGAGCAATTCAACTGAATCAACATCTTAGACCTTGAACTTTCCTTTGACCTTGACTTCACTTTTGTCAAATTGTGTTTAAGTCAGTTTTAATTAAAGACATTCTAGATATTTTTATCAAACGATATTGTTGAGAGCTATTCAACTACATCAACATTTTTGACCTTGACCTTTCCTTTGACTTTAACCTCACTTTTCTCAAATCAGATTCAACGGTCATATGCTGATACATAGTAATGTAAGCAATTCAACTGTACTTAAATTTGACCTTGACCTTTCATTGACCTTGACCTAAGTTTTATCTAATTGTTTTTAAGCCAGTTTTAAAGAAATGATTTATAATGATTTTTTCCAACTTCATTTCATGAAACATACTGATAAGTATCAACAATTTTTGATCTAGGCATTTCTTTTGACCTTGACCTCATTTAAATGAAATTAGTGTCAAACATTATATGCTGATATATACTGATGAAAGCAATTCAAATGCATCACTATTCAAGATATTCTGACCAAATTTCAAACACTAATACAAATTTTCATGTCGCATTACTATTATACCCTCGGCGGGGCATTCATAAACATATTTCTAGTTTTATAAAGACAGTGAAATCGATAATAGTAGGAATGCTTTCGCCCCTCCCTAATTCCAGGTGTAATAATTTGAACAAAATTGAATTTAAGGATGCTTCCTTACAACTAAGACTTATCATGACTTTGCTGTTGCCATAAAAGATTTTGCATTTTGCGATTGACAATAAATTGCAGGATAAAACTTGTATAAATAGACAAATAAAGGGAACTTAAACAGTATATATTTAAGAAAAACACTCTGTTTGGTGTAAACCAGTAGTAACGAGTGTCCGAAACCAAATTTCAAGATTTGCACTTTACAAGCATAACTGGAAATCTGAATATTCAAGTCGGGAGATATGCCTACTTGAAATGTGAAAGTAGATCTACGTCTGCTCCGTATTATTACAAGAGGTTCCCGCCATTAACGTACTCATGGTTTGTCAACAACAGCAGGCTTGGCAGAGAAGTTATACAGACCTACAGATTTATTGTCACCGATGATGTTAAATACAACAGATACAGCTGTCAGGCAAAGGAAACTCTAGAATCAGAAAATAGTGAAGAAATTCAGATTAACCCTTTGTGTAAGTAAAATTATAAGTTTTTAGTAAAGTACACAATAATATTTTTGCAAAGAATGTGATAATTTGAATGATACTTAAAATTTGATTTTTTCGAAGAGGATTTTGGCTATTGAATTGAACAGAAAATAGTCCGAAAATAAACAACTACTGGTGATTTCATTAATGTGTAGAGTTTACAGCCAACTTTTATCTAGTAACGTTAACAAAGTCTACTCTAGGTATTTACAAAGTAGATAGTTTTCTATGTAGCTTGTAAAACGATTTGCTAGCAAGCCTGATGTATATTTTCGTATACCCTATCAGAGGCAGGGATTAAAAAAACCTGACGTCACCATGCACAGTTTCTTTACAAAAAAACCCAATTAACATGACATAATGACGCATTGTAATGCAAAAAATACCTTGGGTGTACGAAGAATTTCAGTTGATAACATTTGAAATACAATAATCTCATTATCAGATGGTGGAAAAATTATTATACTCTCTGGACCATCTGTGAAGGGAAAAAATATGTTACAGGTTAATTTGGGATTCTTATATTTTTGGAACTGCAACGTAATTGAATTGTGACAATACAACAATTCTTCAAATCATTATTGTACACAAGTGACAGCTTTTCAAAAATCTTGCCTGACCAAATCAAATGATATCTGCATCAGGAACCTTTTGATCAATAGTTTTGTCGGTTTAAAACATATCCTTATATACTTTTTATTTGAGATCCTTGAGATTCTTGTGTAAATAAAACTTGATTTCGGAGATTTACATCGTGTTTAGTTCATACACCTTTTGGCTCAATGATTATGAACGAAAGCCGTAAAATCTCCGAACACCAATTATTGAATTCTGATTACTATATATAAAAAACTACGTTACTTTGTAAATCAGATATCCAACAAATAACTATCTCTTTCAATTAAACCAATTGAAAAATTTAAGATGTCCCAAATTAACCTATGAATGAATATGAATATGAATATAATGGAAAACACAAATATTTTTGTTCTCTTCACAGATGGTCCAAGCAGTGTTATAATTTCACCACCACCTGGTAATGAGGTTAGTGTTCATGAAGGGGGAATGTTTGGTCCCTACAATTGTTCAGCTGACTGTAACCCACCTTGTACTTTACAATGGAAGTATAGAAGTTCAAAAGGCGATTTTCTCAATCTCACATCTGTCGGCAGCTCTTCTATTTATTTACCAAAGACAAAAGCATTTAAAGCTAATATGACGTCAATTCGATGTGAAGTAAATGGCATTGAAAGAACAGAAGTATCAAACATCAAACTAAACATTCAATGTAAGTACCTCGTGCGACACTCATAAGTAACATCTACCGCATTTATGCCAAAGAGACATAAGGAAAAACAAATACTTAATTCTCTTTAGAGATTGTCCAGAGAATGTTTTGATTTTATATATGTTATATTTTTATCATAATTATTTAAATACTGGAAAAGAAACTCGTTGGGAGCAACGAAGTCTTCCGTCCTATTCAGAGAAAAAAAAACTCCAACTGAAAATTTGAAAAGATCAAAAATTGGACACAACCAGGATTGAGTCTGTGTCGGAATTCCAAACAGATTTGCAACGTAATTGCCATGTGACAATCCAACAATTCTTTCACCTTTCATTGATCCTTATGGTACACAAGTAACAGCTTTTCAAAAAGCTTGCCTGACTAAATCAATCAATATCTGCATCAGGATGGCTAAACATCATTGTCGGTTTAAAACTTGAAATGTCAAAATTGTCAATAATTTATATTCGAATATTAGATAGGATTATTCGAATATATTTGAATATTCGATAAAATAAATCAATACATTTTGCATTATAAAATTTAAAATATATATTTCCACTCTCCTGTCAACCAGTATACGTTCTATGTTGTTATTTTGGAATGCAATTTTCACGTAAAATTTTGTACTGGTAAATGCAAAGTGATGTTTTTTTTTTTGAAAATTTTACAAATATATGAAGAATATATATCCAAACTGTAATGAAATTTTTTTTTTTAAAATTCAAAAGATTCTTAAGTATGTTCCAGATTAATTGATCGTCTTACCACAGTATACACTAATTACTCCTACAAATTTAAACCACGATAAACAATTATCTACCGAAGAAAAATTAAAATCAATTAATTTTAGCTTATTAATTTCCTGATAATTATTTTTAATTAATGATATATACATCAACAAGGGATCCATGTGTTTTCTGAAAACTGTACTATGTGTCTTTACAACAATAAAAACTGATTGTAAGTACTTGGCACTGGTATTGATTGAACAAATAGTAATTTATTCTAATAGTTACACTATTCGCACTTTTTAAGTTATCCAACAGAAGTGTCTTTTAATTTTTGTTTTGCAATCATATCTTATTCCAAGTCAACGGTTCGAACTTGATTCAATTTCAAGTAAAACTTGCCAGATTTTTCTCTCTTATAAATGCTTGTATACTTAAAAAACGAATGTTCGAATCATAGATTTAAATTCCAATATCAACTCATCGAATGAATATTCGAATAATCGTTTATATCCCTATTTAAAACATATTCGTAGTTTATATTTGATAGCCTTGAGTAAATAAAAA